CGATTAATGGTATGGGACATTAGTCACCAAGGTACGGCAGTGGTCCTCGTGGTGGCCATGACGTGATTATGGAGTTTGTGACCTTTGTGTAAGGTTCACGTATTTCTTGGGTGGCATGTGTTGCCATGTGTGTTATCGGTACCCTCGTGTATTATGAATCGATGGTCTTGTTGGTGGTCGTTGGTGGGGGACGACGGTCCCAGGAGGGAAATTGTTGGACTTAGATGTACAGGGTCCTGGAGGTAATGGTTGGAACTAGACATAAGGTTGGGGGTAGCCATAAGGTTGGAACCGGTCATAAGGAAGGCATCTCAATTCGTGATGGGTGATGTCACGAAGGCTTGTGTAGCCATTGTGTGTGATTCTCTATTTTGTGACATGTGTTGTCATAAAGGCAATGTGTTGCCAATGGTTGTGTCCTTATTCTCTTGTGTTATGCATGTCGGGTGTTAATCTACTGTGTGATGGTAGATTATGCCTTGAGCCGTTCTTGTGAGTCGTTATTGCTTCTTGTTGCATTGGGATGTGTTCCCTTATCTTTATTGTGAGTGCAAAGAGTCTTGTGTTTGACTTCTATCCTGGATTTGAACTTATATATACTATATCCCGTTTCGCAAATGATTTTGTATATATAAACTATCTACATATGATATTTCACATGTATTGGTGGGTTACCAGCATCATTCGCTGACCGGGCGTCGTCCCATATATCTATGTGTATCTTTCAGGTGCTGAGTAGATGAGAGCGCGGTTTAGAGGCAGTTAGTGTAGACCCTTTCCCTTGTGATGGTTTGGGCCTGCGTGCCTTTGATTAGACTCTAGACTTTATGTTGTTGACCTTGCTTTTGGGATTGATAGATTACGTTGCAGATGTTTAAGCCTGTGCGTTCACCGTTGTGTGAGCGTGGCATAACACTCTACGTTTTCCATCTATTTCATGCTTAAGTCTTCTGCTGTGTATGCTTTTATGGTTAGAATTATCTGCATGTTTAAGGTTTAAATTAGTATGGAAATCGGGGGTGTTACACGTGGTGTTGTCGTTATGTGTTTAAACGTGTCTAGACATAGTTTTGGGTTCCACGAGTGATCCCGGGACCGAAAAGTTGTCTATGTACCAGTGGGGGGTAGGTGGGGGGATGGCCGCCCACCACCTACCCGCTGCCTGGCGAGCCCTTATCCAGCGGGCAGCCGGCGGCGGAGGCCTGCCCGCCGGCCAACCGCAGGAATGTTGGCTGCCCACCGGCGGGTGGTCATCCACCCGCCACCTACCCGCTGGAAACTTGTCGTAGTTCGAGATGTTTTTCCCCGTTTGTTGTTTCCCCGTGCCCCGTTGTACCCCGTTTGTTGTGTATGAGTCTTGTTGATGTTTTGAATACCGTTCTGGGAGTTTATGTGTAGAACGTGTCATTATTGTTATGTCTTGATTGATTATTGATTGATTATGTGTTGCTTGATTGAATGATGATGAGTATCGTGGTAATTGTGCAATGGTCGGTGTGACTGATGATGATGATGATGATGATGATGATGATGATAAGAATGTGATTGGTGGAAATGAATTGTTGGCGGTTGGCACCACTTGAGCCCGGTCATTGTACTAAAGGTACAAGCCTAGCGGTTACTGTGCAAAAGGCACAATCCCCCCTTCGACCTGCTTGTCGTTGAGCATGGGTCACGTTATAAGTGATGCGTTGTCATGTCAGGGCTATATGCGCTGAACACCCTTGATATTGGCACTGGAGGTGCGGATCATGCGAATGGCACTGCGGCACTATCTTGATATGTTGGTGGTTGAAAGGTGGTTTGTCGGTGGGGGCATGTACTTGCCCGGAGGAATAAGGGAGGCGATATAAGGGTGGCCTAGAACTACTCCTGGAAGTATAGGTTGGAACTGATATAAGGATGGAGGGGAGCTACAAGGTTGGAACTTGGTATAAGGTTGGAAGATGGATTGTGTGCTTTGCTGATTACTTGCTAACTGATTGTCTTGAATGCCTTTGTTGTCTCTATTTGTTATTTATATGCGTATCTGTCTGTTATGTCTTGCAACGTGTTCTTAGGATGCAAGCTAGTCTTTATGATTGTTCTATATTGTCAAGTCTTTTTTCATGTCTTGAGTCTTGATATTGGATTTAAATTAGAGTCTCGTAGGTTATATACGTATTCCGGTTTCAAAATGATTTTTCTTATATCTACCTATATAGTACTTAACGCGTTGGAGTGGGTTACCAGCATTATTCGCTGACGGTTGTTACATCGCATGTTTTTCAGGCACTGACCAGTAGCTTTGGAGTGCGCTAGACGGACCCGCAGATTTAGCATTAGTTAGTTCTAGTCATAGTTGTTATGGCCTGTGTGCCTGAAATTGTATTTGAATATTAATGTTGGATTATGCTTGTATTAGTTAGTTGTAGCATGTGCATCTAGGTTCCCAAACCTAGGTGTGGCATAGCACTCCGACTCTTATGATTAGTTTATGCTCTGTTTGGATGATTAATAATAGATTTACGTTGATTTCATAAGCCTTAAATGTTTTAAAAATTTGGGGTGTTACATATACGATTTCCTCTCCTCCGTATTATTCATTTGTGGTTGAATCCAATATGGATCTAGGAAGCCATACGTGTCTTTTGACGCCAAATCAAAACTAATGTAAATACCCCTATTCACAAACACAACCAATTATACATAGATTACCAATTATATAAATATAAAACTATTATGAACAAATAATACTAAAGAACTTATTACCTTATAAAGAACTGAACTAGAGAAACATCGATGGTCTCCATATTTAAGAAACGCATTATCTCCCACTTTCAAGGTACAAGTCGTACTCAATGTTGCCCATAATACCACGAGCCACCTGGACCACAAGATTGTGTTCAAAACGGCGAGCTATTGTAAAGGCATTTTTGCATCCACCAGTTAAAGAATCTGGATAAGCTATAGTGAATTCTTGATGTACAGATTGCACACCTGATTGAAAAGTCAATTTGGTCTTTTCTTTTAACTGTGAATTATAATACAAGTACGAATTATTATTTTAAAAAGTAAATTACTTACTATTTTAAAATAGAAATATTTTCAGTGTACATACCGCATCAGCTTCAGTACATAACTCTACCAGCTTCTTTGGCCAAATAATAAAGTGTTGAATTGCATCACCTATAAGCTGAACCTCACTGGTGGGGATTGGTACATGTGCACTTGGATCACTAAGTTCATTTACGCTCACCTTCACGTGATTTACATCCAGTACAACCCCATGAACATGTCCACCACTGTAAGTTATCCCATATGCCACTAGACGTCTAATTGGATATTCTAAGAACAATTGACATCGTGTCCCTAACTGCATTAATTTTTAATTAAGATTCTTATAAAATTTTATTGATAAATAATAATAAGATTAACTATAAACGAATACTTACAGCCGGTAAATTACTAAAAGGGTCCGGGGAACTAGCTTTGTCACTTTGAGATGGTGGCTCAACATCCACATATACGTCATTCCCCTGCTTTGATTGTACAGATTGGTGAACAGGAGTCTGCAAAGAACTAAATTGTAGCATCATCTGAGCCATGCGTGCCTCAAATTGCTGAGTTAATCATTGACTCAATTCATCATTGTGAGAAATATTTTTCTGATTTTGTTTTTCTAACGCGTGTGCAACAGCAGCATCAAGACGTGCATCAACAACAGCATCAACCAATCGTTGAATATCTTCAGGAGTTTTTTGGCGACGTTTTGCATGGCCAAATAAACTTTTGATGCCATGTCCTCTTCCCATGGCTCTAACACGTCCAGAATGCTCATCAGTACCCAATGCAACAGTCAATGAATCTTGTCTTCCATCCTCAACAAATTCTCCTTGAGAAATTTGCAACTCAAGAGCATCCTAACATATATAAAAATTATTCAATAATAATTACTATTATTGTAGTAAATGACAACATATTTACTTACAATTTTTTCCGCTACCAATCTAGTTGATTCAGTGCGAAAATTTCCTAACATGTCAATTCTTGCTTTCTTCCACTTTTCAAGCGCTACGTGGAGGACTTGGAGGCACTACTACAAAATTGAGCATATAATATGACTTTCCACTACACCTCTTGAATAAAGGTGTAGTGGATATTCAAAAACATAGATGCGGTGGCAGTACCGTAAATAAATACATAAGAATACACTACACCTTTTATAAAAAGGTGTAGTGGATAAAAAACGTGTCAACTTTCTACTACACCTACCACGGGTAGGTGTAGCGGAAAGTCAACTTTCTACTACACCTATCACGGGAGGTGTAGCGGAAAGCCGAAAAGTCAATAAATTAAAAAATAATAATAATGGAAATGCTCTCCCCCCCCCCCCCCCTAAATTTTCCTGCCTCATAAATATCTATTTTTCATAATTAAATTAAATTATTCATAATACCACTAAAACCCCCCAAATCAATTAGATCAGATCACATAAATATGTTACCACGCACTTAACCTATTCAAAAAAAAAAAACAAACATAATTTATGATGTGTTCTCATTTATATATTAAATTGTTTTTTCCCTTTTTAATAATTTTGAGGTTATTTTGTATGTGCAACCAAGCTATACGCCATGAAGGTTCGAAGTCGAAGGAGCAAGTATAAGCAATTGAACGAAATAAGTTGATTTTCGTTCACAGTTATGTACTACAAAAGTACCATGAATAAGTTGATTTTTTGACATGTTCACAGTTAACCTTTGGTTGGCAATCCTTTAAATTCGGTTGTGAATTTTCATTTTATAAACAAAAAAAAAAAATTATCAAAAAAAAAGACAAAAAGATAAATAGTGATTATAAATGTCAACATAATAATAATAATAATAATAATAATAATAATAATAATAATAATAATAATAATAATAATAATAATAATAATAATAATAATAATAATAATAATAATAATAATAAATGAATGATCTAGAATCATACATTCACACGGTCACACCATCATCTTACCTAGTCCCAATTCAACGCATTCACGCCTAACCCACATCAGACATCACCATTTTCTCAATTCAACATTCTCTCTCTATCTCTCTGTCGCCCATCTCTCTCTCTATTACCATGGGTGAATCTTGCTTTCCTAACATCAAAACATCACAAATCTTTGCTTCTTCAGCGATTCATTTGCTCCATCGATAAAAAGGCACTCCTCAGATCCATCTGCGATTTCTTCCGCCAACTTCCATTTTAGCGATTCATTCTCCATTTCTTCCGCCAGCTGCTATACTACCGCGACGAATTCGGCGACCGCGCTTACATCCCCGGTCGATCCGCAACGCTTACATCGCTATCTAGGCCTGGAAGCAGGTCATCTCAGATCCGGTGGCAGAAATCTAGATCCGGTGGCGGAGAGCTCAGATCTGGTGGCAGAGAGCTCACGGAGGATGGTCGCTGGCTTCTCTTCCATTTCCGATGCACAGAGCGCAGGATGGTAATTTTTTTGATTTTTTTGATTTTTTTTTATTTCACGACTTCTCTGAGCAGTACATTTCTTTGTATTTTTGTTATAGTACTTTTCTTTGTATTTTTGTGTTCAGGGGTTGAAGATATTGAAAAGAGGAGATACTGTAATGAATATGGATCCAAGATTACAAAGAAGTCTAGCTTCCATTGAGGCGGCGGCACATCTATGTGTTGCGCCTTCAAGATCGGTATTGTATTTTTTTCACAGTATTTGTTCTTTCAAATACAATACAATTATTTTTTTCACGATTTTTGGCCCTTTTAATTTGGTTTTGTTTGAATTTAGTTTGTAAAAGAATTGTTAAGACATTATATTGTATTGTATTGTTTTTTCTTTAATTTCTTTTTCATTTGTATATTCAGAGTTGATGAGTGTATTAGTGTATTGTATATGTGCGTATTTTATTTTTAAAATTTGGTATCTGAGCCCGTATATCAGTGTATTTTTATTTTTTTTAATGTTAACTTTCCGCTACACCCTCTCCAAAGAGGGTGCCGTGGAAAATCATTATTTAAACAGCTTCCACGACACCCGATGCTATGCGGGTGTAGCGGAAAGTTTGTATTAAAAAAAATAAAAAATACTTTCCGCTACGGGTGTAGCGGAAAGCTAGTAACGCTACACCGCTACAAGGTATAGCGGAAACACTTTTAGAGGTATAGCTGATGTGGGTTTTTGTACTAGTGAGGATTCATTGTATACGATGGATCTGCATTAGCACATGCTTGTTTTTATTTCAACTTCTCTTCCATCATCATCTTCTCCAACCTTTTATAACCTCCACGAGCTAAAAGATGTGGATGAATATTCTTAGCTTGTATGCCTTGATATTTTTCTCTTTTTGCCTACATAAATACAAAATATTAATCAAACTCATTCCATGTCCCTTGTTCAAAATATTGATAGAATAATAATGATACCTCATATTCTGGACCTGTATGTGATTGTACAAACTCATCCCATGTCTCTTGTTCAAGGAAGTCATATTTTTGACAAGGGTTCATACCTGCAAAAGAACCGATTATATACTTGCTCACCAATGTTGTTTTAGAATCTTTCCACCGGTCACCCACATAGCTTATCCAATGTCTCTTCATATCAAATTGTGTCGGAATATCATAAGTATTCTACAAAACAAGATTATTTATTAGTAAGAAATGTAATTATATTAACTTTTTGAATAAATCTAAATCTTGAAAAATTAAAAGTTACCAGGATTTGTTTCCAAATAGTAGCCTTAATCTTTTGTGGGACATTCGACCATTCATCTATTGTGATAGGAGTATTGATTCGTCCCACTAATGCAACATAACTTTTAAATGCACTGCCAGCTGGCCTGTAGATAGGCTCCAATCCATCAAGCTGAATTTGATATTTCCCCGAAGTAGAACGCTGCAGAATGATTTTTTGCATACGAGTGGCACCCCTCGTCTTAGAAGTAGTATTACTACTTTTAGTAGTATTTGTATCTTGTGTAGTACTATCTTGTGTAGTACCATCACTATTTGCTGAATCCATACGTTTGTTTAGAAACAAAAATTATTAGAATATATAGAAGTATTAGAATAAGAAAACTAAAAAATAGAATAAATACGTAATTAAAACATTATAATCAATTCTCCCATATCCCTTCATGATGATCATCTCGTGATGCATGCACTTCATCTATCTCATTATCAATAATAGCGGACAATAAACTTGAAGAAAATTATGGTATCTCCTCAATATCAAAATTAACATCTTCATTCTCATCTCCAGTAATTTGTTTCTTTCCATGAAGAACAATTGATCATTTTTTGTCACAAGGATCACTAATACAAAAAACTTGTTTTGCTTGGGATGCCATTATGAACTGCTCATTTTTGTGCCCTTCACGATTAAAATCTACAAGTGTAAATTCTAACTCATCAACTTTTACACCATGTTTATTATTTACCCATCTACATTGGAACACCGGCACCCTAAACAAAACATAATCAACTTCCCATATTTCTTCAATCACACCATAATATGACAACTCTGCAAACACAGGATTTGTATCTTTCGAACTACTGAAATGCATTGAATTTGCAACCAAAGTAACTCCACTTTTTTGCATAGTGCTCTTTTCATCTTGAGCTTTTGTATAAAAAGAAAAACTCATTAATGTCATATCCATTATGACATATGACATCTAAACCAGGACCATGTGCTAACCATGAAACAGTTTCAGAAACATTATTCTCTTCAAGAACTTTATTTTTGAACCAACGAATAAAAGTTCGATTATGTTCGCCCACAATCCACATGTCTGTCCTTCTGGGATTTTGCTCCCTAATCAATGCCTTGTGTTCATCTAAATACGGTTCGACTTCACTTGTATTATGCAATATGACTCAACATCTTCACGAGGCATAGTATTCACTTTGACTCCTCGAGTACCCTTCCCAACAATTCTTCCTTCATGTCGATTCTTAGAAACACCAATATCCTCTACCCCTGCCAAATATTCAGTACAAAACTCAGTAACCTCCTCAGCAACATAGTTTTCAACTATAGATGCTTTCGGCCTATATCGGTTCCTAACATAACCTTTTAATACTTTCATGTACCGTTCAAATGGGTACATCCACCTCAAATAAGCTGGACCACAATGTTTGATCTCTCTCACCAAATGAACCATGATATCAAAAAATGAAGGTGGAAAGTGCATCTCTAGCTGACACAGTGTAACAATAATGTCATTTTGCAATTCATCTAATTTGTCTGGATCAATAACTTTCCCACATATTGCAATGAAAAAGAAACAAAGTCTTATGATGGTATATCTCAACTTTTTAGGCAATATGCCTCTAACAGCCACTGGCAATAGTTGTTGCATTAAGACATGGCAATCATGAGACTTCAACCCCACCAACTTTAAATATTTCATATTAACAAGTCTACTGATGTTTGATTAATACCATTGTGGTATCTTTACTCCACGTAAACACTCACAAAAACTTATTTTCTCCTTTTTTGATAAAGTATGACCAGCCGGAGGCAAATATGTTTTCTTATCCCCGCAACGTGGATCTAATGTAGGTCGTATACACATTTCAACCAAATCCAATCTAGCATTGAGTCCATCTTTAGTCTTACCTTTTATGTCTAAAAGAGTTTCAACAAGACTATCACATACATTTTTCTCCACATGCATCACATCAATACTATGTCTCACATCTAGTGTCTTCCAATATGGAAGATCAAAGAATATAGATTTCTTTTTCCACGGACTCTCTTCATTTGTAGGTATCTCAACATTATATTTTGACCTCTTACCTCTTTGAGATTTAAGCTTTTGAGTCTAACCAAAAGTAACATTGATGCATTCAACTCGTTCATAAACTTAATTCCCAGTCAATGGTTGTGGGGCATCTGTATAGTCTTGTACCCCATTGAATGCCTTTTTTAATTTTCAATAAGGGTGAAATTTATCAAGAAATATCTGATGCCCCATGTATACAGTCTTTCTACCATGAACAAGTTGATGATAACAAGTATTATCTTCACATATGGGCCATGCCTTATGACCTTTGACACTATATCCAGACAGGTTTACATGAGCTGGAAAGTCATTGATTGTGCAAAAAAGCATTGCATGCAACTTAAAAGTCTCTTTCCGGTATGCGTCAAACACTAACACACATTCATCCCATAATTGCTTCAAGTCATCAATCAAAGGCGCCAAAAAAATATCTATATCATTACCTGGTTGTTTTGGCCCAGAAATCATAAGCATAATAATATGTATTCGTGTTTCATACACAACCAGTGGCGGACCCAGAAATTTTGTTCAGTGGGGGTGAAACATTAGAACAAAAGGGATAGCTTAAAAAAGATGAAATAGTTAAGAAATTAACCATAAATATTGTTAGATATAAACAAAAAAAAAATATGTATAACAAAATATGAAACATAATTAATTTGATAAAAATCTAATAGAAAACACATTATAAATTACACATTTTATTATCAATAGGAAACACATTATAAATTACACATCTGATGTTAATTAGCCATAAATATTGTTAGATATGAACGAAAAATAAAATAAAAATATTTATAACAAAATATAAAACATAATTAATTTGATAAAATAATTCTAACAGAAAACACATTATAAATTACATATCTTATTATTAATATAAAACACATTATATTATTATTAATATAAAACTATATACATATATTTTGAAAGTATTATAAAGTATATACACATATTTTGAGGGTTTAACTATGTTGAAGCCACTATTATTCAAATTGTCAAAAGCCAAAATCGAACACCTGACCTTCCTTAAAATCACACGCACGTTCTACCATCTAAACTAACTTCAATTTCGTTAATATTTTCTCTTTTCATCTACTTATACTTAAACCTTGTACTATATTTACATACATATATACATACAAGGGTTATACATGGGGTGGGGGAGGGGTGAGTGGGGGCAGCTGCCCCCACTGTAGGTCCGCCACTATACACAACCAAGGGGGTAGATTATAAATTATCAACATAACTGGCCACGAGCTATGCTTGCTACTTAGGTTCCCGTGGGGGTTAATACCATCAGTACAAAGTCAAAGTCTAATATTTCTCGACTCGTGGCCAAATTCAGAAAATGCATTATCAAATGTTATCCATTGAGAAGAATCAGCCGGGGGTCGATGCTTGCCATCAGAAATTCTTTGATTTGCATACCATGTTAAGTTCTTCGCATCACTTGGATTTGCAAACATGCGCTTAAATCTTGGAATAATTGGGAGATACCACAAAACTTTAGCTGGTGGACTTTTCAAACGTACTTTACCAGCAACATTCTATCTTGTTTTATAACGAGATGCCCTGCATATTGGACATGCATGCAAGTCTTTGTAATCATTCCTAAACAATATGCATTCGTTAGGGCAAACATGTATCTTTTTGTATCCCATACCCATGGGACACAACATCTTTTTGGCATCATACGTATTATTGGGAAGTTCATTACCATATGGAAGCATATCATTTACTATTTTAAGTAACGTAGTAAAGCTCTTGTCGCTCCACCCATTCCCAGCTTTCAAGTTGAATAATTTTAATACAGCAGATAATCGGGTATATTTACTACACCCTGGCCATAAAGGTTGTTTTGAATCATTCAATAATTCATCCAACTCATTTGACTGATTGGTAAACTCTTCTCCAACATCGTGAAACATTTCATCCAACCGATCTTCGGACTCATCATCTTCATTGTCAACATAGATGTTAGATGTTGTAGCCACATCGCTTTCACCGTGCCAAATCCATTGTGTATAATATGGACTAATCCCATTAACAATTAGATCATCATATATGTCATCTTCACATAACCTTTTCTGATAACAACATTT